TAAATAAACTACAACAGAGAACAGACATTATTGGAAAAGTGGAAAAAAGGGAAAAGGTAAGACTTGAGTGCTTGCATATGTACATGTATAAATGCATGGATATATATGCCTATGGTTTACATCTAGTCTAGTGACAGTTTCTTTTATTTCAAAATTATAATCTATTTAATATAATTTAAATATAGGTAAACAGTTTAATTCTGTGTATCTACTATACAGGGTGAAAGGATGATCTACCTAATTGTGTTTTCAATCAAAGCATGGCACATCTATATGCATATCCCATCCCTTGTTCAAACAGGAGACAGAAGGAACCTCAAGTCATGGACCTACTTCTAGAGGGATAAATGCTTCCCCATCAAGTCTCGCTACTGGAAGCTCTCAAGCACCCTGAAGGTCAAAACAGTAACTCCATCTTGCAAGCAACTCCATCTTTTAAGCTGTTCTGTCCCATCCAGATCTTTATAGCCTCCAGATGCTGGGATGAGATCTCATCTATCTCGCCAGTGCATCCCAAAATAGTAATACAAATTTGAATAACAAGGAGATACTGATGGTACTGCATCCAAGTTGACAGATCATCTCACTTAGCAGTTTCATGCAGATATTAAAGAGTTGGAGGAAGAAAACCAGCCCCCTGTGGTACCCAACAACCCCCCCCCCTTTTTTTTAACCATTTCTGACTGGATCCAGCCATTAAAGAAAATCTGGAACTAGTCCAAATTCCGGCCTCCAAAGCCAATCAAGACGGATACCCGAGTCCATGGTTCTGATATATTTAACATATCAGGACAGACGTACCACCTCCCATCCAGATCTTAACAAATATAATTCACTAAGGCACCCTAAATCCTAAATCCTGACTGATAAAGGTGACATTTCATCTAGGGCACTCTACAGTTAATCCTGGAAAGAATGCAGAACTGGCTTTGGGGAGAAAGAATAAACCATTAAGAGAGGGAAATGGTGACTCAATCTTGAAAAAGAGGAAAGTGAGAGAAAGAAACTGAAAATAATCACATCTTGTTTTTGTTAAGTATAAGAACGTGGTAAAGAGAAACTCCAATAGATCTCCAAGGTTCTATTATTTTACTCACAAAAATAAAGCACACTTGTGAAATCCCTGCTGCTTCTGTTTCCTGACCTTGCCAAACTTAAAGCACTGACATTGTCTCTGCAACCTTTGCTAAAAAAAAGAAGACGCTTGAATCTAGAGAGGAACTCCTAAGAAGAAAGTGTACCACAACCTCGCTCAAAACTGGCAGAAACACCCTCTCCCCAAAAGTGGCAATGATAATCTTCCAGATCCAGAAACTGTACCCTCTTCTGGGCACACAAAGAATCCAGGAGAGACAAGGGTTTAGGCTACAAGTAGGAGCGGACATTGTCAAAAGCATCCTATTTACTTCCTCAGTAGATAAGGTACAGGCTCCCTTCGCACGAATGTGCTAGTCGTTCCCGACTTTGGGGGGCGGTGCTCATCTCCATTTCAAAGCTGAAGAGCCAGCGCTGTCCAAAGACGTCTCCATGGTCATGTGGCTGGCATGATGTTACCTTACCACCAAAGGTGGTTCCTATTTTCTACTTGTATTTTTACATCCTTTCGAACTGCTAGGTTGGCAGAACCAGGGACAAGTAACGGGAACTCACTCCGTTACGCGGCACTGCCAAACTGCTGACCTTTCTGATCGACAAGTTCAGTGTCTTAGCCACTGAGCCACTACATCCCTTATCAGTAGATAAGATAAAAGTCAAAATGAATCCCACATATCCGGGCAAGAGGTCCCGGATGCCACAATAGACTCTGTCCAAGTGAAATCCAGACCTGAGCTCTCTGAGTGACTTCATCAGCAAAACTGGTTACAAATGCAATTAGATCCTTCCCAGAACGGAATTAGTTACCTTAATGATACTGGATGACAACTCACTGATGCAATAAGGAGGAGAAGGAATTCTTTGCTTCTCCTATCAACACTGAGAAGGCCAGAACCTGAGTCTAAACCCATGCTCAGTCAGATTTATCTTCTGTCCTCCTTCAACTACAATCTAGCTGTTTTCTGCTTCATCTCCTAGGGAATGTCCTATATGATGGAGAATAAGGAACATGAACTTGATAAAAGTATGCAAGATACATCCAAGACAATGGAAAGTGGAGTATATTTTCCTATTTGATTGTGGATAATAAGCCGAAGAAAGATGAAGTTGCCTGTCAACCTGTCAAAATGTCTGCCAAAAGCAAGAAGTGAACTGTGGACCCCAGTCTGACATAAGGTGTTCTGGTAACCCATGCAGAATATTTTATTTAAAAAGAAATTTGAAACATATTTGGAATATTTTGTTTTAAAAGATAATCAGTGGAACAACTTGCCTCCAGAAGTTGTGAATGCTCCAATACTGGATGTTTTTAAGATGATGTTGGATAACCATTTGTCTGAAATGGTATAGGGCAGTGATGGCTAACCTTCTCGGTATTGAGTGCTGAAACTGGAGCATGTGCTTGTGCATGTGTGCACACACCAGAGCACCAGAACCCGGAAGGGAGTAGCTGGCTGGTGCGCATGTGTGTGGCAGCCAGCTGCTCTTCCGGGTTCCATCGCATGCATGTGTACCATCCAGCTCTCTTCCATGTTCCTGCACGAAGACCATCTGGTCAGTGTGCACACTGGAGCCGGAAAGAATAGCTGCCCACCACATGTATGCATGACAGAACCAGGAAGAGCAACTGGCAACAGAGCCCCCAGAGAGGTTTGCCATCAGGGGTATATGGTTTCGTGCCTAAGCAGGGGGTTGGATTAGAAGACCTCCAAGGTCCCTTCTAACTCTGTTATTCTATTCTATTCTTGCTACATTTTTGTCAGTGGGTAGGCTTTTACAAGGAATGAAATGAACCATCTTGGTGAGAGAGAGGTAGCTCAGTGATGAAGTTGAACGATACAGTTTGTCAGGGTCTTTCTGGTGTTGGTAATGGTGGGAGTTCTCCAACTAGCTGCCTCTGAATGCCTTGAATAGACAGCAAACAAGACATGAAGGAACATATTGTTCTAACTTCATTCTGAGATGTGGCCACCAGAAATCTCTGGCCACCAAGAGCAGAATCTTGAAGCGACCAATGGGATGTCATGGCACAGTTTCAGGACTGTACCCACACAGAAGTCCAACAGGAATGTAATACCAGACTTACAAGTGTAAAAGTTTCTGATCCAATGTTCAATATTCAATATTGAGGAGGATTAATATGAGTGGCCTCAATTCCTCTCTGATGAGCCCGGGCATAGTAGTCTCGTTGCTGCTGTTTTTGTAATTTGTGAAGCAGATATGCTATTGGAACATTGATAGCAGGAATTTTTTCTGGAGGCATGACAGCGGCAGGCTGAGAGTCAGTATCAGAGCATACACATTATGGTGTCCTGGAAAAGTCATGGGCCCCTTTATCATGGCTGCTGAGGATGTAAGTAATTTTAAAATTAAAGCAGGAGAAAAACAATGGCCACTGAATTTGTTTTATGGTTCAGCTTCCTGATTGTCTGAAGATGCTCAAGATTATGATGGTCAAGGTAGCCTTCTACTGGGTATGGGTCCCTTCTAGAAGATGTTGCCAGGTTTCAATGCAGTTACACCTGTCACACTTGACTCAACGTAACTATCACCATTTTAGCTAGCATGTTGTACTAAGGTTGCCAGGTTCTATACTTCCCATACCAATACCTGTTTGGCTACCTGTTTTCCTAGCAAAAAATATTTTTACCTCCCTACCCATCCACCACTAACATATCACTCGTCACAAAGAAGATATTTCAACGTACATATCCTGCCAAGTGACCTGAATTGCATAATATTAGAATCAACCTGACTCTAAATAATATCAGAAATATTGAAACATATTGTAAGTATTTGGATGAAGAGGTCCTTAAATCAAAAATACTATAAGAATAAAACTTGGGACAAGCGAGATTTAAATGTAAAAATGATGTAAAATTATTATTAATAGAGAAAAACTCAAAAGCCATATGAAAAAGGGCTTTGAAACTTCCCAGTTGAATATTGGTAGAAAATCCAGTGGGACCAGCAATGTGGATTTTAGTAAGGCTGACAAATGCCAGAATATTCAAAATATGTGGTTAGAGCAGACATGTTCTTTCTTGTGATTATCTCTCTATGGATATTAAAGCATCAAAATATTAGTTCTTAAAATAACTTACATCATATTCAATTGCCTTAGACTATTCTCTAGAGAACCTGATCACTGCCCTTTACCGTATTATAATGAGACACAGTTATTATTGCATAATTAGTCAGTTTCCTTTTATATGCAACCTCTTACTTTTACCATATGAAATAACAGTTAATTATCATATTCTCCTTCTGGGTAGCACTTCCTGTAAATCGAACATTATATGTTCTGTAACTGCATCATTATCATGATTGCTTGGAAGTAAGTCCCACTGTGTTTAATCAAATTTTCCTCAGATAAACAGAGTGATGTTTTGATATCAAACTTCGTGATGATAGATCCAGACTCTAACATTAGAAATTCACAAATAAATGTTAAAGGTTCTTGCAGGTGAACAGAAAAACAGAAAAACAAAACCCTCTGACAGACAGTTTCAAAAACTCACAAATTGCTCCTTATTTCAACAAATGATGCCTTACTAATAAATCAGATTCTATGGGTGAAAATTACTTTTTAATAGCTATCACAACTGCCAGAATATGCACAGCAATGTGACAAGGAAATTAAATACAAAATAGACTTATCAAACATGCTCCTACCTTTTTCTTCTTTATCCTGTTTTTGTTTTAGGGAGAATGTATTAGCTGTTTGCTTTTACATCATAGTGCAAAAATAATAGAAAAGAAGCCATGATCCCATGCTATTGCAACAGGAAATGCCAATTATCCTCTCCAAAATAATATCATTAGCTACCCACATACATTTATTATTTCCAAGATGGTTATCAAAAGTATGTACAAATAATTTTGGTTTCAATTTTATTTTTTACCTTAGAAGACCTTATATCCCAGGCTTTAACTTCTGGACTGAATCCTCCACAAAGAAAAACATTTGGATCAAGAGGATGAAATGTCAGGGTGCTGATTCGAAACTCATTCTTGCTGCTAAAAAGCTGTGTTCCTAAAATAACAACAGAAGGAACATCAAGATTGACCCTTTTTTTTGGAAGAGTTTACACTAGTTACATAGTATTCCCATATTGTAAGCTAATGGAAAATTATGATGATAAAATAAATATGAGAACATTTGTTAAACGCTTTAGTACAAGACTTTTGAATAATACAGAAGGTTTTTTTACATGAATGAATTTCAGAGAAGGTACTATAGTTGAATGTTTTCACTTCTGTTCTTATTTCTGTAAATACTATCAATTTACAAAATATTCCAGGTCTGTTTCGGTCTTCTGAGGATCTTATAATCTAAAATTTGACACAAGGAAAATACAAAAAACCAATGTTTCTTAATCTTCACTTCCTCCAAAACTTTTCAAAGCTGATCTGCAATCATTCTGTCTGACCTTAAAGGATATGCAGGGTACACCATGAATTAAACAGTGCTCCAGTTCAACTGACTGGTAAAAACATACAATAGTAGTTATTCAACCTCTGCCAGGCCTCTAACTAACACAAATCCCAAAGTAACAGAAACCATCTCACTTCATGTAAAAGGCATGTAAAATTGTTAATGCCCCCATGCACATTTTGAGTTCATATCATGTACACATCTATGATCATTTGTCAAAAAAAACTTTGCAGTGGTTATTATGAGGAAAAAAATTCAGATGCACAGCTGCCTCCCCCCCCCTCCTTAAATTTAAAATCCTCCAGCAAGCTGCAAAAGTGAAAGGTTAACTTAAAAAATTAGCATTTTTTGTAGCGGGCAATACTAATACCAATAGTTATGATAGAATGCTGCTATGGCAACAAACAGGGGGCAGGGAGAAAGAGATACTAACCATACCTATACATTCCAGAATCAGGAAGCTGAAGTTCAGGGTCAGGAGGCAGAGTGAAAGAAGATTTCCACCCATGGAAAAGTCAATTACCCTCTAGAGTTCTGCTGAACTGCAATATTGCGTAAAAAAAATAGCAGTTTTGCTCTGGTTTCCAACAAATCAGCATGGAACAGGGAAAAAGAAGTCTTAGATAATAATTCTATTGTTGTGGGAACACTGAGATTTGGAATACATTCTGATGTCAATCCAAACAGTCTAAAGCAGGGGTCTCCAACTGTGGCAACTTTAAGATTTGTGGGCTTCATATCCCAGAATTCCTCAGCCAGCCAAAGCTGGCTTTGGAATTCTGGGAGTTGAAGTCCACTAGTCTTAATGTTGCCACAGTTAGAGACCACTGGTGTAAAGGAAGTGTTCTTACATTACTAAGTTGCATCAAAGCATAAGAACTAAGAACTTAAGTCAAAGACTGCCTAAAGAAGGTGGATTTGAGGACTGCTCTGAAGATCACAACGGAATTTATTGATTAACATTTATTTATTAGTTAAATGTTTGTAGCTGTCCATCTCACCAAAGGCAACTTTGGGCGGCAAATAAAAAATCAATAAAATTGAAAAATAAAAACAAAAAGTATGCAATATAAAAACCTTACTATAAATATAATAAAAATGGAAATATAAGCCATAGGGGAGAGAGGATAAAAATGGCTACCTCAACAATGGAATCGTCTGAGCAAGTCTCTGGTTACCTGCCAGCTCCAGCCTGACAACATACTCAAGATCTGGGGGCTTTTAGGAATAGCAAAAGGAAAGGAGCTAGTCTAATTTCAGAAAGAAGAATGTTCCATAAGGCAGGTGTTGCAACAAGGAAGGCATGTCTCCTGGGTCCCATCAAATGAAGGTCCCTGACCAATGGTACACACAACATGCTTACTCTGCCGGATCTAGTGAGGCAGGCTGGAAAGGGCCGTTCCTCAGACAATCAGGTCCCATGCCATGAAGGACTTTAAATGCTAAAAACAGCAACTTGAATTGGACCCAGAAACAAATTGGCAACTAATGCAGTTCATGGAGCAGAGGTGTAACATATGCTGCCCTAGGAAAGTACATCACTGTTTGGGGTACTGCATTCTCTAGCAGCTGAAGCTTTTGAATACTCTTCAAGGGCAGCCCCATGTAGAGTGCATTGCAATGCTCCAATCTGGAGGTGACCAAGACACAAGTGACTGTAAATAGCACCTGCCAAATCAAGAACAGGTACAACCAGCACACTAGACTAATCTGTGCAAAGGCCCTCCTAGCCATGACTGCTACCTGCTCCTTGAGCAGGAGTCATGCATCTAGGAGAACCCCCAAATTGCAAGTATGGTAGTAAATACACTGCAGATACGTCCAAGTTGATAGAATCTAATGAACAGTATAGTGGCCTGAAGATAATATCTAGATTAGAGATCCTGGCTTGCATATAATGCAAATAATGTAAAGCATGACTTTGATAGCGCCAGTTTTGGTACAGCTTCATATATTTTGAAAATAAATGAAAAAAGCTAGCCAAAAATGTCCAGTAAAGTAAATGGAATTTTTAAAAAGTGAAGAAATAAATTGAGATGAAACTGAAGTGAAAAAAAATGATGGAATGTACATTTTATCTACAAGATGATACATTAAAGGGTGAAAACTAGTATCCAAGAAAAATGATAAAAAAGAAGCACTAAATGCTATGAGAGTATTTTTAAAAGTATAAACTCATAGGTAATGGGAAATGTGAAAATAAGGGTGGAAACTATGAAGTGCTGTACAACATTTTTAATGTACATGTACAAAGGCTGCACCTTACTTATTCCTTACTATTGGAAAATGCTATTTTTTCAGATATAAGGGAGTGATAGAAAAAATGAATGCAAAAACTACAAGAGGTTTGTTTGTAAAGTGTTCCAAGAAACATAGTCAGCACTATTTTGATCAAAAACATTTCAAAAATGTTGTTCAGCATTATGTCAGACAGAAGGTACAGAGACCCAATTTTTGTTTTTTAGAGAAATTGTTAATATTTGAATAAAGGACATTCGTTGTTTGTGTGTTGATTTAGAGAAGGCTTATGATAAAGTGACATATGACATATTTTCTATAAAGATTGACTGCTAAGTACAATAAATGTATTGATTTATAAATGTGTGCTTGTAATGATGGGATAAGGAGTGGGAACTTTGGTATATTTTTAATGCAGTAGATACCTTTTTGTTGGCTAAAACAAATGATTTACAGCAAATTTTGGCTAGTGTTGAGATGCAATAATAAGGATCTAAAAAGTAATACCCCGAAAGAGCATGGTTTTTACATGAACTTTGACTGAACAGTTGGAAGTTGTGCATAAATGGCAAAATATAAATGGTGATGTATAAGAATGTCTGTAAATGGAAAGATTTACTAAAGATGAGGAAATGGATGGAATTTTTTAGGACATGTAAGTGCTGGTAAAAAAAACATAGTCTTTGATATATTCTGGGGAGCAAGTATCAAAGAAGCAAACTTCTATCTCAAAAAATGTGACTAGGCAGCATACAAAAGAATGCTTTATATATGTGTTTGGGTGCTGAAAACATGTTAACTTGCATATTGGAACATTATGTAAATTACTGATACAAAAGAAAGGTTTATGAAGGGAGGTCTTCTTATTTACTATACTGTCTGGGGAACAGCATAAAAAAATACAAATTAAACATAAGGAAAGAAATTCAGAAAATATCACAAAAGATATAAAATAAATACATGATAATATAGAGAAGTGCTTTAACAGAAGACTTTGAAGGCAGAAGTCCAGAGCCTCACTCAGCTGAATGAACAAGAAAGCTGTCTAAATGACAGTAAGGTTGATTTATCACATTTGCAAATAATATACATTACCATTAAAGGGGACAGGGTTTTTTAAACTTAGAATTATATCATTGGACAACCTATCAAAAAGCAAACCCCATAGTCAGGAATGATATCATAGAAGTTATAAAAATGCAAAGATTGAAAGTTTGAAAGACAATCTGGAAGTTAAAAGAAATTACAGAGACATGACATCATACAGCAGATCTGGCTACAAAAGAACATTAAGACTCTTAGTCGTAGCAAAGTAAACGTCAGCCACTACAAAAATTTAAGTACAAATAATTCAGAATTTCAAAGAAAGAAATTTAGGAAGTAGCATGGATTTTAAAAAGTGATGAAATGTGTTCAGATTCTGTTGCATGGATGGTTATGGAAAACTTAATCATCCGCTCTGTAATCAAAATTACAATCGAGAAATTATTTAAAGGTGTCAGCTTGCAAATAGTATTATTGCACTCCATTGTCTCAACAGACACTGCAATTGAACAGATAAAATGGACTTCTTTGAAATAACATTATATAGCACTAGCATATTGTGACCCTACCCAGTTTCCTTCACATGGACTAAAGACCTCAACATCCAGCAGGCATAATTGTTGGAAAGCACCAGGGTGGCAATAGTTATCTTGGAATAATTTGTTGGCTGGTGTGGGAGGGAGGTCCGGAAGGACAGAGGTGGAGAAATGAGGCACCAAAAATAAATTTAATGTTTGTGTAAGTAAGATATTAAGGAGATGCAGAATAATCTTAAAACACAGACATAATTGGTGGGGGGGAGCTATTAAAACATGAATCTGCTCTGAAGGAACTTGTGAATTTCCATTCCTTTTTCAACCAGAAACCTGCACAAATAGAACAACATGAGTGTACTGCGGAAAATAGATTTAGTCGGTCTTCCACTGTGTTACTGCAGTTCAAGGGAATGTTGCACATTGAGACAATTAACTAAGGTAAATTATGCAAATAAGCATCATGTACACTACTGAGCAACATTTCAGCAATGTCTCCCATTAGAGTCAGACACTATCTCATTAAATGAAACCACTGGACTTCTCAGATTGTTAGGTCTTTAAGAAAACAATAAAACATGCAATATATTTGTCAGCAAACCTCCATAGATTAAAATCTATTTTGTGCTGATTTAAGAGATGGTGTGGGAGGGACACTGATTATTTTTTTCTTAAATCGAATGAGGATTTGCATATAGTCTCAAGTAAGGCATTGGCTGTTCCCATGGATACATTCTTTTCTAAATTTAATTGTATGTGGTAATCTTTACAGAATCCCGTGGC